GATCTAATGGCAACATATATAACCAGTCTACAACTTTTTATCGAAATTGAAAGGGGTCGGCCGAAAATCTTGATTTTTTTGCTCATTCCCGATTGCAAAATCTTAAAATTAGTAAAATTTTTGAAATTATGAAGAGATGCCAAACGGTATGTTATTTGAGTGGCTTAGTATGAAAATGTAAAGTGTTTTCAGAGGAAATAAGTTATCAATGTTCTACTTAAAAAGATTTTTAAAAATGAAAGAAAATATTTAAACAGAATTTGTAAATAAAATAAATGTGAACGAATTTTTCTTATCTTTAAAACTAGTGTTGTTAAACGGCTCGATTTGGGCCGATTTTTAAAAACGGCTAATTCAATATTTCATCCAGAAAAATATTACGCAAACCGGAAGATTTTGCTCATAGAAGGAACAAAGGTCTAGACATATATTATCGAAATTTCGAGGCTTAGGCAATATCTTTCTGACATTGAGTTAGCCGTTTTAAAAAATCGGCTCAAAAAGAGCCGTTAACAACACTATTTAAAACTGAAAATTGTAACATTTCCATTTTTATCAAGTTTGGGAGCCATCTCATTCTAAAACTGGTCCTTAAAAACAGTACTGCATGCTGGGCCAGTTTAAAAATAAATAAAAATTATATCGATTAATCATTTGAAGATGATATAACTGAATATAGGTTGGCACAAAATAATTTTGTATAAGTTGTACAAACCAGCCCATAACAATTTTTTTAGATGGAGAAAAAAATAAATTTTCCTTAGCTTAAAAATTTGCAAAATAATAGTCTAGCCCATAAAAAAAAATTTTTTATCACAAGTTCTCAGAGGGATCCAAATGAAAAAAACAGAGGTTGTTTTTTTTTAAAATTACTATTACAATCTTTATGGAAAATATAATCTATTAATTTTATCGCAAATTATTAAATTTCACATATCTTTATAATCTACCAATTTTATTAAATTTTATCTTTTACAAGGATATTTTATAGATTTTTTTAAAAAAAGGTTAAATTTTTTGGATTTTATATGACCAAATGTTTAAAAGTGGGGATTTATAATATAAAGAGGAATACCATCATATTTAAATATGCTTAACCCTTTCGCGCCCAGCGAGATCATTTGTCATCAAAATTTTTAATCAATTAATTTATATATTTAAAAAACTAATGGTTGCTACTTAGATACATGAATTAAAACAATATTTATTATTTCAAAGTTCAAAGTTAGGTATTTTACACGCCAAAATTTTATACTTTTACATCGATAACCATTCTATATAAATATATATAAATCAAAGGTATATAATGTTTTTATAATAGATTATTACTAGTATTTTATATTTAGTAAAAAAAAATTTAACAATAGCTATTATTTATATGATTTTTTGAAGGAAATCCAAATTGGTAACATTGGGATTTTATAATGTAATTTTTTCTATAAATTTTTTAAAATTAAATATTAAAAATATTATATAGCAAGAATTGAATATAGGTTATTTTCCATTTAGAAAGCCACTATAATATTTGCAACAAGTTAAGAAAGTATGATTTTTTTTTATTATACTTTTTTTAAATTTATAAATAATTTTTAGATGACCTCAAAATATATTATACCAGAGGGAGATGGTAAACAATATATTAGCTCAAAACCACATAAATGGGGAATTAAAATTTTCGCTTTATGTGGATCATCTGGAATGCTATATGATTTCTAAATATATTTAAGAAAATCCACAAATATAAAAAAAACTATGAAGGGAATTAGCGGAAATATCATTATACAACTATTAGAAACTGTTCCCTCACATGAAAATCATAGAATTTACATGGATAGCTTTTTTTTCTTGTTAAATTTAGCAGTTGCTCTCAAAGATAATGGCTTTATCATGTCGGGGGCTCTTATATTTAATCGATTATTGGGATGCCACCTGTATGATGATAGAATACTAAAGAAAAAAGGAAGAGGGTCCCTTATATCATCATTTATGGGAATAAATCCAATATCAAGAACAAGATGATAGGTATCTGATAAGTCTTTTCTTAATGTTGAAATTCCGGCCATAATTCAGGACTATAACGGTGGTATGGGTGGGCGGAGTTGTTCTCCATGATATGTTAATTGAACTCTACAAAACTAACATAAAATGGAAGCTTTTTTATATGCGAGTTTTCTTTCGTTTAATAAATTCCTGTTGTAGTAAATTCATGGTTGCTCTATAAATGCCATATAACAGAAAAATATTAAACATGTATCTATTTTAGTATTTAAAGCTCCGATAGCTAAAGGATTAATGATGGTTGGAAAGGAAAATGGTGAAAAAGAAGGTAGACCTACTTTGAAGATTGAAAAAAAGAAGGAAATTGAATAGTTTTCATCCAATCATAGAGATTAGATTAGATAAAACAGCCATCAACAGCTAGCAGACAAAGATGCAACTGCAAAAATGATTATTCAAGATTTGAATGTATAAAGTGTAATATATCTTTATGTTTAAATAAAAATCGCAATTGTTTTTTTTCTTATTCAAAATAAATTGTATTTTTTACATATGAATATCCCAATGATGACAATTGGCAACTTTTCATAATTCTATATATATACACTTTTTTAAATAAAAAACGAAAATGTTATATTTGTATCTTGTTTAACTCAGTTTTGGAAAAATAAATTTTTTTGTTCATGGGAAATATTTGGGCCGCAAAAGGGTAAAATATTTACAAATATAATAACACTAAATTTGAAAAAATAGGTTTAATTATAGATTAAAAAATATTATTATTTGCAGTTACAAATAATGTATAAAACATGTTAAAATATTTAGTATAAATTTTAATTTTAAAAATATTTTAACTTATAGATATGATTCACACATATATATAATCTAAAATGTAAAGGAAGAAATATTAAATATTTTTTCGTGCTATAAATCTTAGTAAGTGTAGCCAGAACATGCTAACATATAGCAACCAGCATATTGAAATTAATAGATATGTAAAGAAAACAGAAAATATATTTACAAAAGTTATAAATATCAGCTTAAAATATCTTATCATAATTTCAATCACAAAGTTATTTATGAATTTTAAAATATTTATCCATATCAGATCATAATACCAAATCAAATCAAAAACCTTTAGTAAAATAATATTTTTGCCTTCCATATTAAATAATTACCTGAACCTTGAGTGGTGGAAATCCAAAAATAGAATTTTTGTTGATGATAATATAAAAATATTATAATATTCAACAAAGACTTAGCTGTAACGCTTTGCCAAAAGAATATTATACTCATTTGGCTTCTAAATTTGAAAACAAGCTTGGGCTAGAAAAAGTTGGAAAATTAGTTTTTCATTTAAATACTTTAATAACATTTTATATTTTGTTTTTGTTCCATAGGCAGTTAATTAACCAAATTAGCCTGAAATTATAAAAAGGTCTAGAAACTGGTTAAACCCTTTTGATATTCTAACTCATTAAAATATTTTATAGGATTTGGGCAAATTTTAGATAGATTTGCTTTTTAGTTAATTTAGATTGAGATTTCCTTTTTTTATTGCTAATAAATTAGGTTTCCCTTTTGTTGAACAGGACACAGAACAAAATCATGGATACAACACTAAATAAAATTTATTGAAAAAATAAATTGTTGTTATATTTAAGTAAACATATACAAAAAAATTTACTATAAAAAACTACCACATTATATAATAAATAGGTGGAGATTAGTATTGTTAAATCACTTGATTTTAGTTTTGATCTTGATTTATTTAAAATCAGTTAGAATAAGGTGATTTTAATAACACATATATATTTTTCTGATAAATAAGCAAATTATTTTTAAAAATATTAAACTTTGCTAATTAATGAACTAAAATCATTATTGGTATTGTGAATATTATAAATATTGGTGTTGGTGTTTATGTAAGATGTTGAATTGGGAAGAATATCATTATATTCTTTAATAGGTTGAATATTAGAATTAATAAGATCCATAAAATTGGAATCATGATTTATGTAATTACAACTTTGTAAGTGTTCTTTTGGTATGTTGTAAATTTCATCTATAAGTTAATAAGAATATCACAATAAATAAATAAATTTACTTTTATTGATATCTGAATGGTATATATTTTCATAATAAGGATTATTTATAAAATGCTGAGGATGCAAATGATTATATTGAACATGACTATCTCCATATATTTCATTAATAGGGAATCGTGGTAAATAATATATATTTTCATTTGATTGAAACATTAGAGTAATGAATATTGGTAATAAAAAACCAGATTTATATAATTGGAACAATAATCAAAGAAAGGTAAAAGGTACTAAAATTTAAAAAAGCGCAGAAAATTATTTAACTTCACAAGATAAATATTTTCCTAAAAAAATTTTTGTTCGGTGACATAATAAAACAATATTACTATAAAAATTAATAATACTTAAAATCAAATTAACACTTGTATAGTCATGAATACGAATACACACATTAATTTTGAATGTTAAATAAAATAAGTAAATTTATAATTATGTAAATGTTTAATTAATATATGCTCAGGTGTTAATAAATTACTATTTGTGATATCTACACGTAAGTATATATTATAAAAATAATTATTTAACTAATGTAATTAATTAAGATCAATCATTAGTTTATATAGTAGGACAGTTAAATAATACAAATATTAATATTTTGGTAAAACTTTAAATTCAATATAAAAATATGAAATTATTTCAGGTAATCATTTTGTTCAAGTAATTTTTTTTATTAAATTCGACTTATATGTCAATTATTTTACTTATTGGTTCATCTAAGTTATTGTAACAGAGATCATACTCCTTGATAATTATAAATTCAGGTAAATAATAATATTTTCGATATATAACAAAATTATCGATCTAAGCTTTTAGTATCTTTATGAAATAAAACATTATTTTGAAAAGGCGCAATAACAAATAAGACATACTCTAGATACACTTTATAATTTATTTAATATTTTATTAAATTAAATTTTATATAAAAATGTCCTTATTAATTTCATCTGAATTCATAAAAAACAATGTAATGTAATTTTAATTTAAATTGTTTTAAACTTATGATTTATAATAATTTTAGTTATAATATAACAATCGTTTTTAATATTTTATATTGATACAGGTCAAAACAAATGATTTGAACGAAAAATATTTACGAATAATTAACAAGGACTTTATAAAATCCCAAAATAATATAAATATGAAGACCAATTTTGAAACAACTACAGTAATGCTACTTCTGGAAAAGTTTAAACTTATGCAAGATCGCCTAAGATCTCATATGAAAAACACAGATGAGCTCTATCACATGGCCCTGAGGATAACTGATAGAGTAACTCAACTAGAAAAACCAAAAAATTATGTAGGCTATCTAATTACTTAATCTTTATTATATTTAATTTTAGGTGTCAAAATCAGTGCAGACAATACCTTGTTTTATCAAAAATGAATATGGACCTGATAACCATTTATTTGAAATAAGAAACACTAATAATAACATAGAAAATTATAAAAATAATAATGTCTTATTATATTCAAATGAAGTTTCAAGTAATGTTGAAAACTACAATAATTTAAACATCAAAAATTTTAACCAAAATGCCTATAATAGTTTTAATTTATTAGAAGAAAACTTTCAAGTATATTTTTTTAAATAATATTTTGAAACTTATAATTTATTCAGAGACAAGGAAAGTTATCAAAAAAACCTGTTATAACATACCCAGTATTTGGTTGTAGGAAGAGAAGAAAAACTGTTAGATTAAAGGTAAATAAATATATTATACTTTATTTATATTATTTTCAAAGAAAAATGATGAAAATGTGCACATATTAAATACAGGATTGCCAGACAATTTATCAATAAGTATGTTTATTTATCCTATTCAATGGTACATTAAATAATTTAGATAATGCAAATTTTTATAACAATGCAAATGGCAATTTGGAATATAAACAAAACACTATTTCAGACATGGAATTATCAAGTCACGATAATGACAACATAAGCATCCAAGGAACTCCAATAAGTATACAAAAACAGATAAAAGTGGATTATGACAATTTTAAAAATGATTTATTTAACATTAAAGAAACTAATGATACAAATGACATCAAAATTATAAATGAAAAGCCAGGATCTCAATCTTATGAGTACCAAGACATGATTGAACGACAAAACCTCTTAAACAATGTTAATGTTATACAACTAAATGATTCACCTGCCAAGAGTATTAATAAATGTTTAACACAATCAGTGCCATCTAAGTACACAATGCTTTCATCTCAAGAAATGACACAAAACTTACCAAATTTAATCTCTCCAATAAATGGCTCAATTATTAACACCAGACCAAACAATAGAATTCACACACGTTCACTCCAATCAAAAGATTCAATTAAAGATACTAAAACTCTTGCAATTAATGAAAATTTTTCTAATTATTTAAATCCAATCAATAGTTTACCTCACATAATCAATCTTTGTAATGAAGATATCAATCTGAATAATAATAAAAATGACCAAATATTTAATTCATTTGATAATCCATCTAAAATTAACAAAATAAATATGTGTAGTGATTTGAAAATTGTTGATGATATACAATATTATACTGAAAGGGGTGTTAATCATATTGAACAACAATCGTTAGAAAATAATAGAAAACGAGGACCTGCCAAATTTAAAAACAAAATAGCTCTCTTTAGAAATAAAGTTGCTCTCAATCGCAAAAATAAATTTACAATTAGTTCATTTAATGATATTAACCAAGCCAATGACTTCATTGATTTGGAGTACCATCAAATTGCTGATGATGCACATCATAATATTTCCTTGAACAATAATTCATCTAAATCCAAGAGCAATAATTCTGCTTGTAAAGTTAAGAACAACTTAGTCATTAATCAGCAAAATAAAGAAACAGTATCCAAACAATCTGCTCTAAACATTCCTATCAATAATGGTAAGATGTACAAGTGCAAGACATGCAAAAAGCGTTTTACTACTCCCCATGGAAGATCAATTCATTTTTCCATTATGCACAAAAAGGTTTCAACAACTAATGAAACTGAATCATCTTTTGATGTTAAAAAACGCAAGAAAAGATCTACCTCAGTTAACCCTTCTAAATCTGAATCAAAGACAAAAGATAAATTCATATATAGGGCTAATGAGATTAAAACGAAATCGCAACAATATTCACAATCATTAACCCTAGAATCACTCAACCATTTAAATATAAATGAAAATAATAAAATAGGTGATAATATAGTTATAAATGATAATTATTATCCTTCCTCAAACACTGTAAATAAAATGAACATTTTTACAGCTCCTAATCTTCAAAATATTTTAGCTACAAATATTGATATTAAAAGTTTAGCTAATTTGAATGTGTCAGAAAGTTCCCTCAAAAGAACACTAAGCCTTTATTAAAAGTTGAGAATTACTATACAAATTCCATTAAAAGGGTTGATAAGTTTAATATGACTTATTTCGTAAAAATATTATATTTGTAATAATTTATTTTTTATAAGATCATTCATAATAGAAAAATGATTATTTTGGGGATATATTTTATTTGTTTTATATATTAATAATGTAGAATGTAAGTATTCGAATTTATATATAAAAATTTATACCCTATGTTTGAATGTAAAACTCAAGTTTTTATATAGTAATGCGCTTTTTTGAATATCTTTTATAGTACATCACATGCATCATTTTACCTATACTATATAATATTATATATAATAATGAATAAACATTCATTTAATATATTCAGTTGTTTTTCTCTTAAGTCTATTATTTTATTACATGAATTAGTTTCCTTAAATATTTATAAATTAATAAACATAATAAGTATGAAATAAGGTCTAAAATTTCCTATATTGAGTTTTAATTTTAATAGATATTTTATTTGTAGCATTATTTTAAGCTAGATGGTCATGTCCTAGGCCGACTTATTACTAAATAACCAGCTATTTAGTATCGACTAACCAAAGAAAAAAACGAGAATAAAATACCAAAGATAACGAAGCCACCAAATAAAGAATTTTTACAAGAGGTGATTTATTCTTTTTCTTCAAAATTGATGTTGATGTTCTTTCTTATATAAATATTAGCTATTTTATAATTAGAAACATTAGTTTTACACTAATAAAAAGGTAAATTGAATATGTTTATAATCGAAAAAAATATAATAGATCTTTATGAAATTTGAAGTTCTCTCTAAATATTGTAGTTTATAAAAAATAATAATTTGCATTTTTTATTATATCTCACAGTATGTGTTGGGGGAGCCCTCTATATCGTAAGATTTGATCGGTTAAGTTTGGTTCTTTATTCTAATAAATTTATACTTATGAAATTTTTTTTAGTAACTATGATCCGGCCTTGCCCATCTCATCTGTAAAACATTTTAACCGCCTATTTTAAACATATATTTCACCCGCTATTTCACCATTGTTTAATTTTTTTACCTCCCGCTGTAAATCTCTTATAATAGACGATTAATATTAATTGCGTTTATCATTAGAGAATAATAATTCTTACAAATTCACGCGTTTTTCTTTTTATTCTTAATAATGTATTATAAATTGTAATGTGCAAATTGGTAAGCCTTTCTTATTTTTTTAAAAAATACAAATTCAAAACAACAATTTTAGAAAAACAACGCTAAACGCTTCTTCTCAAATATTTTAACCTTATATGTAATAGTTAATTACAATAATATATCATTTAAACTATCAATAGTTGTTGGTAAAATATTTTAAGCTATATTTTGAAGTGGATATTATTGAGAACACTATATATTAAATATATGTGAATCAGATTATCAATTAATTATATTTGCATATTTATGGACTTTTTGAAATATTGTTTTTCGAAAGTCGTCATTTTGAAGTTATATTATTTTTATAATAAATGCTGCATAGACTTTTAGTATTGAATCCTCCCTACCCCTATGATTGAACAAAATTTCGTGTCCTCATAATACCCTTATATTGAATATCTAGAAGAAAATTTGCTTTCATTTCTTTTAACCGTTGAAGACAAAAAGTAATCAATTGTAATCGTTTTCAACTTTACCCTAATCAATTTCTCTTATTTTAGTATCTAATTTTCAAAGATGAGAAGTCTATTTGAATACTTTTTTATGCGATAAGCTTCAAAACTACAGATAGAGACAACATGTCATATTTATAATATGTTAAAATGAATTAAACTTTTATAATGATATGCTTCTATAATTTTCGTTTTACCAATAATTATTTTTAAACTATCTACCACCCAAACGTGTTGAAGCGCTAAATTTTACTAATTATTAATATAAGTTTCAGTGTTGATGTTTCCAAAAGTTTGACTGACCTCACGCTTAAAGCGTGTAGTACTTTTTATTTGATTATCGATTAGCTTTTTAAGGCTGGATGAAATTAATTGAAGAATTAATAGGCAAGACATTAAATATTAACCATCTATCAAACAGATTATAACAATAAAATACACTAATTAAGCACTACTTAATCGGGTATAAATTTCAGAATTAGTGTTTCCAAAAGCTTGACTCAATTCATGATTAAAGCGTGACGTCATAGTTTTCATTTTATTTATAATTTGGTTTTTTTATATGGGTTGCATAACTGATTGAAGAATTCATAAGTACTTGTCATGTACAAACATAGGCATAGACAGGGGGAAGAGGGGCATGAGGAACCCCACCTCTTTCTGAACCTATTCTCACGAATATCTTTTTAAGCTAATAAAAATTTCTACCCTATACATCCGCCCTTCCACATGTAAACAATATATCAATGTAAACAAGAATCTGATTTTTTTTTTAGTAATAGTTAATTATTTTTTTAATATAATGACTAAATTCAAATTTTTTATAAAAAAAGGTTTTCATAAATTTGAATTACAAAGTATACTATTTATGAAAATTTAAAGTAATTCTTTACATGTTTTTAAACTGATTTGACAAATTGTTCCAATATTAACTGAAAATTACTATTAAATAACCCATTCCTCTTTTGGATACATATTTAGCTCAAATAAATGACGACTTGTCTCATCTAATGGCTCTATTCAATATAAATTAGAAATCCTTCTGAGGACATATTATATCTTGATATTTAAAAAAAATTAAATATTTAGCTCAATTTATTCTTATAGGTTAAATATATCTGAAGTCCAATTAATTTCAGAATTTAAATCTTTGTATGAAAAATTAATTTTAACAGATAATCTGCAAGAAACGTCATTAAGGCATTGCATACTTTAAAATATATTTTGGAGTTTTTCCAAATATTTCAAAATTACTTTATATTTTGGGAACAGTACAAGCACAAACGAGAGGACCTTTTCTTCATTTAGGAGAATAAAAACCTATCTCATTGGTATGACATCAGAAAATCGATTAAGGAAATAGCTCTACTTAATATACATAGAGTTAATTCAATGGAAAACAAATTCTTGAAAATTTGGCGCAATCGCAAAGAAGATTAACTTTCCATTTATGAACGATAATTTGATCATAGATTCTATATTTTATTATGATTTTCATACCGGGTTATATAGCTATAATATTTTTAACAATATTGTATTCGCTCAATCAACATTTTATTATTTGTGTTAGAAATTGTCAAATATGTTTGGCTCCAATGAATTTTATATGATGATTATTTCTAATAAATTTTTAATGTTCCAAAATAATTTCAATATAAAAAATACCCCCCCCCCCCTTTCCCTAGAAATTTCCTGGTACCTACACATACAATGAAGAAGCACGAAACATTGGCATAGATTTTTGAATTCGTGCTTCCAATAGTCCAGCCAATTTTTAACCGATGATATATAGATAATATATTAAAGCAAATTAAAATAATGGAAAATCATAATTACATAATCATAAATTTTATAGGCGTAACCCGGTCGAAGGCCGAGAAAATGGATGTTTGGAGGTGATTAAAATATTTTGTACCCCCCCCCCTCTCTTGATAAATTCTGGCTACGCTACTAAATAAAAGCTTTCTATATATTTATTATTTTGTAAAAATAAAAATGAAATAATAAATAATATTTAAAAAAATCCTTCATAGGTTAGTAGAGTAGGAAAATATTAGTAATCACTACTCTATTCCTTGATATTGCGCACCATATAGTGTTAATTTTGTTAAATATTAATCAAAATACATTATATGTTTATCATTCATTTTTGACTAAGATTTTCATCAAATGTCAATTCATTTATTGAAAAATCAAGAACAAAGGATATTACTATTTTAATAACATATCCCATAAATGATGAATATACCAGATTCGTGATCATTACATCCGACCCTTAGAAATAAATTCTTCCAAACAGAATTGCTAATTAATTTAAAAATTTGTTTTACGCAATTATAAGGAAATCATTTTAGCCATGTAATTATTTATCTAAATTTACAATCATATACATTAAATATTAAAAAAAATAATAAACTAATAACTAGTACTAAGATTAGACCTGTACGCTGTATAAATTATCGCCACTGATTAATATGGACGCACAACCAAACTCGTCGTCGATTTTTATAATTACAGCTATGGCTCGTAATATTTTTAAAACATCTGATTATTTATATTTATAAATTTAAAAAGTTTCCTGGATCATTCATTAAAGTATAGTTCAGTTATAAGCAAAAATTGGCCAATTTGGCTGAATCTACTGGCGCCTGCTTAATAAAATTCACAAAGCATTGAGATGTGAGTTAATTTATTTAAGCATTCTTCAAAGTTAAGTTATATTTTCAAAAATAATCGAGGGTGTGAGGTGACATGTTTTAGTTAAAATCTTGATTTAGTTGAAACAAATAATGATATTGTTGGAAAAATTAACTTAAGTCGTCTCTACCCTCAGATTTAAGGAAACATTTTTATCAATTAAATCATTGTTATAATTTAAATTGATCAAAGGAGTAACATTTTTTTTCTAATATTTAATAACCTTTTTTTTTAATGATGCAAACACCATAATTTTTAAAATTTTTATTCTCAATATTTTGAGAATTTTATAATATTTTCTCCTATTTATTTATTATTTTGACTAGAACTTATCGATGTGCAATAAAACCTTTAATATCGTTTAAATAAAATAAGTATATAGGTATTTATATTTCCATATATAAACATTTTACAATTCTATAATATAAATTTTTTTAAAATGTATTTCACGCGAAACATAATACAAATTATATAAAACATAAAAAATAATTATTTTTATACTAGCCAGGCCAGATATATTATTATTATTATGTATTTTTTTATAATATATATTATTGATAGACAATAAATAAAATTAACAAAACATTCTCCAATTTTATAAAATGTTAAGAATTTTTGGAGTCAATATAAATTTACCCTAAAATAATCTTATTAGTCAGTTGAGGTTTTTCGGCATTTCTAAATTTTTTAATAGTTATAAAAATTTCTCATAGAAAACAAAGAATATTACAATTTATTTTAAAAAAATGTGCAAGAAGAATAAGTTGATCCCATTATATGATTTTCCAACTACTATCTGATAAAATTAATTTTAAAAAGCCCGGTGTATAAATATTGTGATATTAATAATAAATATTGTGATATTAATAATAAATATTGTGATATTAATAATAAATTATTCGATGCACTTCTCATTAGCATCTGTGACAATATTGTTAGGCATGATTATCTCA